ATGGTCGCACTGGCTCTGGCGGGGGGGGGGGGGTAAAGGGCTGCCGTAAGGCTGAAAACCTCACCGCCATCTGTGAGCCGATTGTCTAGAGAAAATGTGGGAGCCTCAACGTCTCACAACTCTATTGGCCTCCGCTGTCTGTTACAGGTTTAGCGTTGCCTTTTTCTTCGTTAGCTCAGGTTACACGGGATCGAATGATAGGATGGTCAGTGCAGGATGAATTACAGGGGACATGGGCGGAAGCAGTCCTAGCCCATGCCAAGCTAATATACCGGCATTCGCCTGAAGGGACTGGTGAAAAACATGCAAAACCTTGGCCGAGATTCGAATCAGACACCTCCTGGGCTCAAGTCAGAAGCTTTACCGCTTGAGCCTGCGTGCTCGGTTCTACGCAGTAGGAAGAACGCTGTGTGACTTCTGCTCAGAGTTCCTTGTGTCGATATGGAGGAATCTGATCTTTCATTACCGCTGTGTTGACTGGCCTTGTAGCAATTGTACGTAGTTAAAGTCAAGAAAAATTCTGAACTTAGATTCGCATTTCAATTGCGTTTATTCTTCATCCACACGCATACAAGACTTTGCAGTAATCAGCAAATCTACACACTTCCATTGTCTACGAGTAAATCATTTCCGTTTGTTTCTCTTCGCGTATAGTTTTTTGCCACGGCCAACAGATGACACATTTGTTGCTTGTGACCATGACGGAAATAGTATGATCATTTTGTGTGCTTGGTTTAAATTGGAATACTGTATTCTCATATCGTATTCTGTAGACATTCGACTTTTGTAAATGTGTATGCGATAAATTCAAGATTAATATTAAATGTCCTTGTGTGAATAATGGCGGAATGAGACATCAGACTTCATAATGAAGTACACGTTCCAAATGTAATTATTCTTCGCGGAAGACCCATGTAAAATGGCGTACCAGAGCAAGGCGGCCATTTTTTTTTATTTTGAACACGAGGCTGAGAAGTCTTTGCTAGGTTATCATAAAATATTCAGTTGGCAACTGAATGGTCAGTGCAAGCTGGACCTTCACCAGCATCTATTGCAGTAAAACAACGAAATATTCCAGCCAGAGTTGAACTCAACAGCAACCACAGTGCTGAGGGTAAGAATATATGGAGCCTTACCTCAACGCCATGGAGGATTAATTATATAGACCCAACTTCAGTTCTGAACAGAACACTCTTCTGTGTCATAGTTTCATGTGGTTCGAAAATGTCCCGACGTTTCGGAGGAACATATCGCCACTGTATTAAGGGGTCTGTGGTTCTACTTGGCACCTGCTTGTGCGCTGTTTTTTGCTTTTCATAGTCTACGTCCCTGATAAGAGAAAGAGGTGACGTTCTTCCGAAGCCTCAGACCTTTTCCCAAGTACATAGTATAATAACCAGCAGATCGTATTCTGTAACTACGTGTATAATAAGACTTGGGATGTTACTAGTTAATAATTTATCACTCTGCACGACATTGAACTCTGAAACAGTTTCAGGAACAGATAGGGCGAGGGCACACCAAGGAAACTGGCAACCACAACGCAACTGCAATTCCCGAGAATTGTTATCAGCCTGAGTTGCACACACGTTAATGAATGGAGCACCGCACTTCAAGAAAACAGCAACACAACTCGGGGGGAGACTGAGAAACTCAACTTTGAGGCAACGGAGCTTGCCACTTTGCTAATTTTGTTTTTATGCAGTTAATTGAACAAGAGCATGGTATATGGGATATGACAAATGCCACTCAGGCTATGCCAGACAGGACGAAATAGATTTGACTTGGGAAAGAATTTCTCACTGTGTGGTGATTAGGGCAGTTTAGTGTAAGGGAAGTAGTTGAGAGTCCTTATATAGATTCCTACTCACTGTTTACAGGAGTTTGATGGCATCGCTGTGGAGAATTACAGTTCTTGATGGTGATGATGTTGAAGATGAACAATTCAGCCAGCTGAAGCAAGGAGGTCCTGCGTGGACAGTCGCTTTTGAGTGAGTTTTTTGCAAATTGAAAATTGAGGCCCCACTTCCCTTCTACATTTCTTCCATCTACAGGGAGGGCATGTCGCCGGGCGCCAGCAGCGAGGAGTCCATGAAGCAAAGGTGTGTGTTGTCCCTGAAGCAGTGAAGCTTTGTTTATCTTGTGATCTTCTGGGTCAGTACACTGTGTAGTTTGACAGGTGGATATAAGCCTGAGTTATGTTACTCTGAAATGCTGGGTATTCTCGTATAGGACTTCATGATATTCCAACCCACAAGATCACAATACCATGCAATATGCTGCCTGTAAGTTGACACTCGCAGGGACAGATTCTTTAGCATGTTGCTTGCTGATGCACATGTGGAAAGTTAATTTTAATAGTTTGTCATGAACCTAGCATGAATGCTGTTCATGAGCAGGAATTTGCAACTGTGTGAAGCTCTGTTAGGTTGAGAGTTTGTTATGTTGAAAATTCATAGCAAAAAGTTCCTGTTATACTGAAATATTATCATCTGAATACAGTGCTCCCATGCCTCATATACTTACATTAAGGTTCTGGAAGGATTTAGTACATTCTGTCATGAACTGTTACTGTTAAACGCAAGTAGTAGTTGGGTATCCAGTGAAAAAGTTGTTTGAATAAAGTCATTGTGTTGGGGCTGAACAAGGAGGATATAGGGAGGCAGCCCTGTCCTTCCTGCAAAGAGGATGTTGCCTTGAGACTTGGGAAGGCTATGTGGTGAATTCTCTGTGCACCAACTGCAAGGGGTTTCTGCAGCAAAAGGGCATGTCACATGTGAACCTAATTATGGAGTTTGCTGTGGGGAAATTGACTGTCAGTGAGTGGGGCTGCTTCAGGTTGCACACTGCAGTGAACCCCCACTTAATGTTCCATTTCAGTGACCCAAAGTCAATACTCTCAGTGTTAAATTCCCTCCTTTGAGGGAGCGGTAGCGTAGTGGTTAAGGCACTATGCTACAAGTCAGAAGGTTGCGGCTTCAAATACCGATGAGGTCGCTGGATTTTTCTTCAGTTGACCTAATCCTTCCGGCTGCATTATGACCCTGGGGTTCACTCAGCCTCTAACAGAATTGAGTACCACGAATTAAATAAATAATTTTCCTGGGGAGTAAAGCGCGGCCAGTGCGTAGGGCTTACAACCTTACCGCCATCTTTGAGCCGATTGTCTAGATAATGTGAGACCCTCAACGTCTCACAACCCTATGGACCTTCATGGCCTGTTACAGGGATAGCTTTACTTTTTACTTTTTTAAGATTTTTGGCACTTTACTATCAAAATGCAGTTCCCTTAAATAAGGGTTTCACAGTCATCAGATATGCACGTGTTTGAACTTTGTGGTTTGCAGCCATGATGGGTCAAAGAGTTTGTAATATAAAGAAAAATTTTATCAAAAATAACCCATTTGTTAAAACTTTTTATTCCATAAATGTCCATGTTAAAAGTCGAAATGTATTTATATAGAAATTATATATATTTGCCATTCTACTAAGGGTGTCCTTTTTTATCCATCAGGAATATCAGTGGGCTCACTTTCTGCACTCATTTAGCTGTACCACTTGCACTTTAGCTTGATGGTCTCTTTCCGGACATGTTGATTTACCAGTGAAGTGGTTCTTATCTGTCCTGCAGTGGCACATTAAATTCCCCCAGACATTTAAATTTGTCACTACGGTGTTTAATTTTATAATTTTTGCCCGCTTTTTAAAATTCAGTATCTCAATCATGTGTGATTATAAAATTATGGAACAAAAAGCCTCTGAAAGACCAATTTTAAGAATTCACATACCTTTATTTTCATTTCTATAGCCATTACATTAAAGTTTATATATATTGTTTAGTAAAATTCCATTCCTTTGGCTTTATTCTCAAGAAATCCGCTACTGTCACCACTGACTTTCATTTCCCTTCACACTACGTGATCTCATACCTTTGCCTGAGTCATTCGCATTCAACATAGGTGGTCTTGACTGGCATGTGGTGTTTAGAAATGAAACAGGATCATAGTAGTCTGCTGACAAATGAGTCTCCTGAAAAAACACCTTCCCAGCTTGGCTTATTGCAACACTGTGGATCCCTAATTGATAAACAGAGTTTCTTTTTGCTGTATGGGCAACCTCAAGGCTAGTATGGATGAATGAACTGAACTGTTCTTCCAAACAACAACTGCAAAATAATTATCTTTTACAGACTATGAAACCATCACTAAAACGTTTATACCACTGGAAACATTGCTGCAACTCAAGTGACAAATACTGTGGATGCTTTATAATTATGTAGTTTTCAATACCAGCCCAGCAATAGGTCCTAGATTTTAGTTTTAGATTAGGTGTGTTTTCTAAAACTTTGGGCATACAAATCTGTTTCTCTGGCTATTACTTCCTCAGTGTATGGTGTACAAAACAACTCAAAATATTCCAGGGGGTTACTGGGTTCTTCTAAATCAACATCTATGCCAGGTTGCGTGCTACTGTTGTCACTGACATTTTCTGCTTCATCAGAGCTGACACTTTGTTCACCACCTGACGAAATTTTCACATTTATTTCACTATTACTACTATATGCTCTCTGAAATACCACTGTATTCATTCTCTTGTAACAGTTCATAAAACACCTCCTCATCACTTACACGCATCTTCTTGCTAGGACCTGCCATAATGTTTAGTTGGAAGAACTCGAACCCAGGACAGCTATCAAGCAATCAACAATTTCCTGTCACACTCTGAAGTAACTACAACATCTTGCAAGCACAACATAATAAGTTTCCATTGATACTGATATCATCAGATGTCATGGGCACTACAATACACAGTACTGCATGACGTCTATTGACTGGTTAAGCGTAGTGACTGCATAGTCTGAAGTAGGATAGAAACAGTCACCATTCTGCTTTACGGATGATACACATGCATGAGCCATGCATATGACCTGGTACATCACATCCATGTAAATATTATGTCTAAATTTGTTTCTATTTTGTATTTAAGAGAATTNTATGTAACAAAATTTAAGAATTCCTTTTCTCTTATGTTGATCTCTTCTCCTGTTCTCCTTGAGAGACTCTTCTCCTGTTCTCCTTGAGAGACTATTCTCCTGCTCCAGTGGATTTGTGTACCTCTGTAACTGTTATGCTGGTACTTTAATTCTGCCCTTTGTGTATGTATGCCTTCAACCGCTGATAGTTGGTGCCTCGTCCATACATATTTTCAGCCCACATTCTTATATACAAAAACGTTTTGTAAATGAGGGATTCATCATTGTCGTTACGCAATTTCCGGTTACAATAACACGTAACTATCGAGAGTTAAATCGTTCAGGGCCAGAAATACAGTTGTGGAGGCCCCAGGACAAACAAAACGTGGAGCCCCCTGTAAGTAGCAAGATAATTCAGATTATGAAATTTCTCATTTATAGAGGAGGGGTCGATCTTATTTTCTATGATAAGTGAAAATACAAAGCGATTTTACATGATTTTAGAGAGACAGACTTCTCAATAAAATCTGTGGGTTTTATTACTGTTTTGCGATGACATGTGCTACCTCTATCCGATACATATATTTCGTCTTTTTCACTTGCATCACTCACGTGGGTTTCTGCTGCTTCTGCTAGAAAATTGACCTTGCTTCTTTTATTCCTATCTTTAAAATAACAGACCTTCTCAGCATGGTTCGTTTTCTTACATACTGTACGTTGTTTTCTCATATCACTGTCCTTATTTCTAAAGTAACAGTCCTTTTCAGAGTGATTATTCCTTTTACAGCTAGAGCAATTTCTCTTACCTTTGTTGGGGCAGCTGATCTGGGCATGACCCATTTGATTACAATTGAAACACTTTTGGTTTTAGTTACTGTCTTAAAAGCTATGCTTTCTTCTTCTTTAGTCATCATCTTGCACTTCACTTCTTCCAACATCAATCTGGCCACCAGGTTGTCAAGAGTTCTGTCCATGGTCGCCGCTGAGACGGTGTAAGAGAACACTGGAGAAAAGGAAACATTGGGTGCACCTGTTCTTTTGTGACAATTTAAACTCAGGTGTTTATATCGTTTCAAAAGAACTTAATCAGGATCCAGAACTGTTCAAATCATTTTACAGAAAGAGCATTGAAAGTTTTTCTTTATTAGTGGATCTTGTAAGACCTCAAATTCAAAGACAAGTTACAAATTTTCATACAGTTGTGTCAGCAGAACCGTAGGCAAAATTATAGTTTTGTCCCACCAGATGTTCATACCGTAAACAAATTCCAGTGTTACCAACTTGCACACCGTGAGTTATGCGTGGTGACCCGTTTTCATTTGACTGCCAATATTTATTGAAATATGGTATTATTTTGGGGGTGGGGGCTTAAGGACTCTGAAACTGTATTTAAAATACAGAAAAAATATGTAAGAGTGATTAAAGGTGTTAATAATAGAGTATCCTATAGGAATATGTTTGGTGAAATTAAGATTTTAACTGTTACCTCATTATATATATTTGAGATTTTGGTTTATAATAAAGAATAAGATGTATACAACTCAGTATTCTGATATTCACAGCTACAGTACCATACATAAACATAATTTGTATGTCCAGTTTTGTAATACCAATCATCACAAAAAAGATGTAATTAATATGGGAACTAAAATATTTAATGGCCTTCCCCTTGAATTGAAAAACATTGAAAATTTTAATGATTTTATGAGGAAACTAAAAAATTATTTGCTGTGCAGTGCTTTCTGTTCTCTTCAAGAGTTTTTCAACCAATGTTGGATTGTTGACTAGCTCGTTGATGGTCTTTTGGTTTGCAGTTTTTAATATTGTGTTTACATGTTTTATATTACATATATTTTTCTTTTGGTCTTCTGTATTTTTTTCTGTTATGTTCCTTATAACGGTTGTTATATTATCGTGATAAATCATTGTGTAAATTTTATGTGACTTTGACATGTGACATATTCACTATTATTTCTTGACCTGTCCAATTGTACAGTAAAACCTGCCTTAAACGGAAATCTGTCTTAAACGGAAATATTTTCAGGTCCCTTGACTTTGGAGCTGAAATAGATGTTAAATAACCTGGATTAAACGGAAACTGTCTAACGCGGACAACGGAAATCAAAATAAGCCTTTATACGGAATGCATTGTTTAGAATAATTTTAGGCATCCTATGCATTCTACAGAATTTTGTTTTCCCTAACTCTTTAACTGCACCACCTGCACTGAGATTCAGCAGAATTGTTTTCCCCTTCTGGAAATTGTATTCAGTAAGGGCTCTAGGCCTACAGTTTTACTTTAATCTAGCAGTTGTCATCATGGCTACAAAGACAAGAGTTGTGCTTACTCTAATTTCTCAAGCTAAAGTGTTTGTGGAAAGTCAGGCAGCCAAGAGAGTAAGCTGCGTGCAAAAAACTATGCCGGAGTTCTGGTAAAATTATAAAAAGTGAGTACTGCAATTTTTTCGTGTTCAGTGTAATGTTTGCATGTGTTCAGTGATTATAGTTTGAATAAATTAATGAGCATGTTGTTTTGTTTTGTCTCAAATACGTTTATATCCTGGTTTAGTTATTATAGTATACCTTGATTAAACGGAAACCTGGCTTCAGTGGAAATTTTTTCTGGTCCCTTGAGATTCCGTTTAAGACAGGTTTTACTGTACCATAATTTAACATTGAATGAACATAGGAGAAGTAGATCTGCTTCAGGATTTTCAATTCTAATACAGGTCTGAGAGAAGGAACCATGTAACCTAATGAATTTAACTTTGAATTTATATAATTATATAAATTCAAAGTTTGAATTTGATTATAATCAACATAACATTATAACATATTGATTATAATCAATATGTTCTTTCCNTTTTTCTGGTCCCTTGAGATTCCGTTTAAGACAGGTTTTACTGTACCATAATTTAACATTGAATGAACATAGGAGAAGTAGATCTGCTTCAGGATTTTCAATTCTAATACAGGTCTGAGAGAAGGAACCATGTAACCTAATGAATTTAACTTTGAATTTATATAATTATATAAATTCAAAGTTTGAATTTGATTATAATCAACATAACATTATAACATATTGATTATAATCAATATGTTCTTTCCATGTTAATGAAGATTCTCTTATAATATCTAAAAATTTAATGGAGTTAGTAGAGTTAATTTTATAAGTATTCAATTCAGTGGTATCCAAAGCCCGATGATTAATATTTGGAAGGAACTGCATAAAGTCAGTCTCATTATATTTTAATAGCATTCCATTTGAGTTAAGCCTAACACCGCTCTTTTCCAACCCGCCTTTGTTTGTATCGGCGCAGTCGGAATGGTGTTATCCCTGCTACACCTGTTTCTACCTTAGGACAGTGTATGATGGCTACTGGAAGTTGTCCTCACAGATCAAACTAAGGAAGATCGGTATAGGTACGAGAAACTAGCTGGGTCGGTTCGCATGAGTCTCAGGGTAGCGATGCCGAAGAAAGCGTTTTTCTGAGAATTGAGCCAATTGACGTTTATTCACCTGCTAATTCACGACACTGTTAAATTAATGTATTCTTAGCTTTAAGTTACAGCGTTACTATCGGCAAGCTATGTCCCGGAGCGTGCAAGGGTCACGTCCGTTCAGTTCGGGATATTGTGAAAGTCTTTTTTT